CTGGTGTACATTTCAAACGTGATCTACTGAAAGCTCTATACAATAGCATCAAAGAGCATGAAATTGTGCATGCCAGGTTGGTTTACATTTTGGAGTTCCCTTGTTCCAAAATACTATATATATTTTTTTAGCAAATATGACAACCCGCCAGCGTCAAAGATGTCGTCTAAACGATCTTTCGTTTCACGTCAGGTATATCCGCACTATATTCCAACTTGGTTTTTATCAATTGCTGAATTTCTAGTTGCTCCTGGAGGTTGATCCTGAATCACAAGTCGAGTATAAATGTGGCTACATTATGCGCAAATGTCTTTATGATTCAGATGGTGCAAAAAGTGAGTTCTTCTCTCTTCTTCATTCCTTATAATCGGAAGAGCATGCATAAAAAAGATAATTTTACGAGGTTTATACATATTTATTAGAGAAGAAGTACCAGTCTGATTACCTTGAGAATTTTCTTTAGCTTTAATCTAGGAAGAACAATGCTAAAAGCCAGGCATTTGTTGCAAACTTTTAAGTATCTTCCCTTATACTAACACAGTGGCAGTCTTAGGAAGTTCTCAAGAAGATGGTGCTCGACAATATTTTTTTGTCATTAGTACGCCCTGAGTTTGAGATTTCCAATTTTTTCGTACTCGTTTGACATCGAAAAAATCTTAAAGAGAGAGCGGGCGTGTATGATGAGTTCATTATTTTCATAACATTTATATCATCTCGACTTTATTGATGCGATAAGTGACCAGCTTCTTTCTATGATTTATTGGGAGATTTTTGAATTTTGCGACTCTCAATTCTTCGCTGTCATATACATTTTTCATCGATTAGATGAGTAGATCTCTTTTGCATTAAGGCATTATATAATAATAACTTTGATGTGCTGGGTGATTTGAAGTCAAAATTGTTAACGTATTCCCCCCTCCCCCCTCTCTTTATCTCCCTTACACTTTTGTGACTTGTTCTTCTCTTTGTTGCTTCAGCTCTGCAAGAGCGGATTGCTCTGAATTCTCTTGAGCGCTTAATGAAGTTGCAGACTATCTTCTTTTGGTGAATAATGTTTTAATGACTGCGTCGAGAAAGTCTCAATACTTCAGCACCCTTCGGTCGCCGAGGCTGGAAAGAATGGTATGCTAGGCTACGAGGTCTAGTGCTCTACCTTGGCCGAGATGACAGCGACAAGAAGCGGAGCAGGTACTGTAACATCTTCTGAACTACATTTCTATCGCGCTTATGAGCAGTATTAACAGATACGAGACTTTCAATAATGCTATTCTACTGCATCATGCGTTCGCTGAACCAGCGCCGGACTATAAAAAGAAGCAGCACATTTTCCGTCTTAGGACCGCTAATCTGGGCGAATATCTGTTTCAAACCACGTAAGTATACTGTAGGAGGCTCACTGAAATTTTTTTTCCTCATCAAAAGTTGCATATTTTCTAGAAGTGCCTCTGAAGTGGAGGATTGGGTTGTGCAGATAA